ACTGGTGCACACGCGTGTGCATGATGAGGAATTCCCGTGCGCGGAGATGACGGAGCTTGGTTTTTAAGCGGGCTCTTGTGCCGTGCTATCCCGCAATTGCCGATGGAAACGAGGACAGTCTTGACGCTGCCCGCTCCAGAATACAGGAGCTGTTGAGATGTTCAAACGCCAAATAGACACCTATTATATAAATTATCACAAGGCATCACGTCTGCATGAAGCACACATGCGTTGGATAAAACATGCACACGAAGAACATGCTTCGATAACTTATGCATTGCCCTTGCAATCACTCATCAATATATGAAGGAATGTCAATAAGCTGGCAAAACCAAATTGAAGATATATTGAGACAATGACCACGACCATGCTCACAGCTGTCAACCCCTAATCATTGCCTACCTCATTACAGACCAATTCAGACCCTTATTGGTCACCCCGTGCCCCTTACAAATCTCAACGTTCATCCTACAAAGTCCCATCACAATGGCGAAACAAATATGTTTTTTTGCCCGTATTGAAGCGGCTGTACGCCGTATGGACCTGAAAACTCTATTTCCCTGCACAAGAATACGGAGTAAACCGTATGGGTTAACAGGTGTGCATGCTACATTCCCATGAGAAATCATACTAAAGATGACATTACATCTCGCCGTAGCATGCGTAGACGATGCAAAGGCATTCAGCTGAGTATAAATGTATGCAAGCAGGTAGGTAAATAACAAGTTTGCAATCTAACAAAAGTAATTATGGAAGGGTTACCATCACAAAGAAAAGCAGGTTATGTATGTGTGCGTGTTGAATTTCTTTTTCACCGTACATAGCCAGCCGTACCGGAGGTGCGGGGGTAGGACAAGAAACTGAACGTAGGTTGATGTATACCTAGGCAAATTGTTGAAGGCGGGTCAGGATAAACATTTACATTGTATGGTCGCACACATTACACACAAAGTGCTTGCCACAAATGAACCACAAGGAGCATAAACCACACGAACTCCGGTGGTTATCCTCGCAGCGGCAGCAGCAGCAGTTTTTGGGTGTCCATCGAACAAAGACGGTGATCACCGCATCGCGCGCTTTCAGATGCGCTTCTGTGGCCGTCTGGAACGCGCTTCCTCCTGATATTAGGAAGCCACTGGGAGCAATGCGCTTTAAAATAATCCAGATTGAAAGTTAATTTATTTGGAACTGTTTTTTGCATTTAGTTTGTTGTCCCACCCCACTACCCCCGCGCCTCCGACGATCACGGTCGGCTACGTACGGTGCGAAAGAAGGTCGACGGACGCACGTACAAAAAATAATAACTGGGGCAAATCTCGAGCGCAGATGGAGGTACGGTGAGAAAACGCACAGCCGCTCTGCGCTGCTCTCCTCGTCGCGCGTCTCCGCGGGCGCGTCTCCGGCGGTGGCGGCGTTGGCGAACGGCACCTCGGCCTCTTCGTGTCGCGTGTCGCACGGCCAGGGGGTCAGGTCGCAGGCGGCGGTGCGCTCGCGGTTTCGGGGCGCGCCGAGAGAGGGGCGCCTCCCTCGGGGGACATGCGGAGCTCGGTTTGCCAGACCTGGACGGCGGGCGTGTGGCGAGTCAATAACAATTCGACATAACCACACACATATATATACCGGAGTGCGTTTCCGTCACCGCTCGCGGCGAGCACTGCTGCGTCACCTGCGTTTTTGCCGTCGCGAATTCCCCTGCCGGCCGAGGCAGTAGCCTCCATGGTTTGCGCAGCGCAGGTCGGTAGGCGGGAGGGCCGGGCCGGGTCGCGCCCACGTGGATGCACGATCCACCGCTGGTCCGAGTCGCCGGGTGCCGCGTGGATGCCGCGGGGAGACTGACGGTGCACGGAGGATTTGACACCGCACGCGGTGATGCCCCCACCTACCACGCCAATCCCCCACGTTGAGAGAAATTGATACGGACTCGTCGCCTTATTCCTTAAGTTTCCGTCCACCACCACCACCACCACCCTCCACCCCCCATCTTAGCACCAACGCAGATGCCGTGCGTCGTTATGTAGGGCAGCTGGCTATCACAACACACGGGTGAGTTGAGTGAGGCTGCAGGAAAAAAAAAACGTGCGTGCCTCCTTTGCTCAACTGAGCATCTAAACCAAAACTGAACTAGTTTATATATTTGTTTGTTTTCTCAGGTAAGGCCCACTGAAGCTCTCTTTTTCAGGAGCGACCTGGCCGCAAGTAATAGCCAAACGAAGTGGCTTATCACGTGGGCATATATAGCAGCCAAACACTCTCAAACGGATTTTTTCCGAGTTTTCGGCATTCGTCAGAGTAACAGCTAACCAAATATTAATCTTTACTGAAGCTGAATTAGGGTGGTAAAGGTGGAGCCCTGCACTCGCTCGCTCACGCCACTGCTCGTGGAAGAACCTCCACTGGATGGAACTGGGGAGAATTATCAATGTCATAACTGTAACCATTTAAGAGTGCATTGATATGTATTCATTATTCATTCATGTTATTTTACTTAACTATATTATTTCCTAATTAACATTTTTTGACTGAAATTCATTATTAATGTCTTTTAACCATATTATTGATGTCCCTTAACCAATATGCCCTTCAATCGTCTTAATTATTAATGAAGATTCCGGCTTAGGTAGTCTTGCCTGCCAAAGTTAACTAAAATGTCCCTACCCCTTAGGTTTCATCTAATTATAAGTTTCATTTCATTATTTTTTTTAAACCTATTGCTTCTATTCTCACTAGTGTTGGTCTTTTCTAAGGCTAATTATTGGCAATGTTTGATAAGTGATCTCAGTGGGGCTAGTACAGGGGTCGGAAAAAGAATAGACATTTTTGTCGTTATTTGGTAAAAACAAATCTAAATTTCAAGAGCCACAATGTACCGTGGTGGTGAATACGAGACGGTGGGTCCCTGATAAATAACGTCACTAAGCAGTCCCAAGGGAAATCTGCTAAAGACCGTCCGGCATGGCCTCGTTGCAGCCTTATGCTCCACAGGGAGCGAAGGGGAGCACAAGATTAGATGAGGACTGAAGCGGTCCTCAAGGACCTGCAGGTCTGCCGACCCCTGGGGCTAGTACTATATTACTGGGTCTCCACCACTCTACAACCCCCAAGGCTGTTCCGTCGACGCCTCGAGTCCGACGACCTTCGCTCAACGAGCGGGAAGGTCACCCCAACACCCCCTTTTCTCCTCCGCTGCCCCAAACAATGCGGTCACGGCTCAGTCAACCCCCGTGGAAAGCCACAGCGCCGTTGAGGAGGCCTTCAATCCAACCGTGCATTCAAATTGATTCACGAGGGGGGGGGGGCTGTTTTGTTCAATCGCCTTTTATAAAGGATGGGTTTTGTTTGTCTTTGTTGCGTGTGGAAGGAAACTGGAATGCAGCATGGAGGAGAGAAGAACACTGCAAGGTCTGTTCCCTGGCTTGGCACCCACGACCGGAGACGGTCACAATCCCCCCCACACCACCACCCTCCACTCCACTGCGCACGGTTTGGTAATCGGCTCACTTTCTCCTGGCACCGAGGTTTGTTGTGAGCAAGGGGGGGGGGGCCTTAATAATTCACGGCCGCATCACCTTGGTGGGGGCCCGGTGCCGTGTGCCGATTGGGTTTCATGGCCACGGTGTTTGTGGCTTTTGTTGTGGCCGCAGGGGCTGCCGTTTGATTTATCCACGAAGCGCGCCGCTTCCTCCTCCCACCACCACCTCCTCCCACCACCACCACCACCTCCTCCCACCACCACCACCTCCCACCACCTCCCCCCACCACCACCTCCTCCCACTACCACCTCCTCCTCCCACCTCCTCCTCCCACCACCACCTCCTCCTCCCACCACCACCTCCTCCTCCCACCACCACCACCACCTCCTCCTCCTCCCACCACCACCATCACCACCTCCTCCTCCCACCACCACCACCTCCTCCTCTCGGGTTTTCAACCGGAGCCCCGCCAGCTCAGGGCTGTGGGTAACTGGGCCCGATTCACCAGAGGCACGGACGGGATAAAATTCGTGGGTGCTAGGGTAGAGTGAGGGGTCATGCTACCCATCGAGGTTTGTCCACTGGTGTCTACAGCCGGACTGATTATACAAACACACGTGTGTTGTAAAGCTTTCGCACCGTACATAGCCAACCGTGCAACAAACTAAACACAAGCAGGTTCATCCACGAATGGGACTACCAGCTGCTGTTGTGCCACTGGGCCAATACAGCTGCCACACGTGCATTCAGAATGTGCGAGTTGCAGCAACGTTAACATTATCGAGACTGCGTTTGTATCTATGACGAATAAAACATTTGGTGACTACTTCATACTGATTGTATTATTATTCACTCAGACCTTCAGTGCAACTTGACCTTACGTTAGCTGTTGTTATCCAAAGTTGTGTTAATGGATTTTTTTTCTTGTACAATTTTGAAATCAAACTTAGATTGAACCCCGCGGCAGTTGCATCCTCAGCATTACCGCCACAATGCTGATTACAAACTCTTTCTGGAGAACTGGCGTGGTGGGAACCCGGTACTGATGCATCACCATAACAAGATGCCTTCACGTTACACCTGCGAATGAATCACCCTGACAACGGGTAACCCGAGCCTCCTCAAACCATAGCCACGAGCTGCCACCGGCTGAACCTTCACGTGCTCACAACTCAAGAATGTTCTAATTAATTCATAGACCCAGATGGCAACCACGAGTCTAAATGTTCACGCTCGACAGAACACAAATGTAAAAAAAAAACACTTATTAGCACGCATCTTTGGGCGAGACCGCGTGGGTAAGTTGTCAATGTGTGGGCCCACCCCCAAGTTTGCCGAGCATGGCAAGGACACTAAGTAAACGTCCTCCATAACGCACACATATATGCACCTCTGATTAGCACGGTTGGCTATGTACGGTGTGAAAGTTCAACATACATACGCAAAGTGATAATACGTTAAAATCTTGCCAAACACAAAGACAATCCAACACACCGTCAGCTCACCAAAAATGCATAACAGGTAATCGTGTGGCGTGAGATATTTTAATCACCTCCATTTCCTCCTCGTTTCAAAGTAAAACATCGTCCAGAGAAGATCTCCTTTGACTTGTTCCATCCATAGACCGCAAAATTCCCCGAGACTCATGCACCGTTCACAGTTGTCGCTTTTTTTCGGGTCGTAAACATTCGGCACACGCTACCGCGCGGCATTTCGACGGCTCAAATCGACACGCACGCAGCGCGCTCCCAACGCCGCACATTTTCATAAACGCGACGTCCCGCACGCATGCTTGTAGCACGCACGGTCAACTGTCGATCACCCCGCGGGCAGACTATCCGGGTTGTGAATGAACCGTGTTTGTGAAAGATATTTCTTTTGCGCGCACGCCGGTTGAACTATCAGCCGCTCCACACTCGTCGGGGGTCAGCGACTCGGTGCCCACATGACAGAAAACACGTTGGCAAGTGAATCGATTGACTTTGAGAAGCAATAAATTGAGACGATGCATTGTCTTCGCGCCCCCCCCCCCCCCCATTATAGAGGTAACCAACGAATACCTCCTCATAGCCTAACTCACACGTGTGTTGGCAAGGTATCCGTGTTTTTTTATCCGAATAAACGACAGTTGTATTATCCCGCATTCCACAGAAGGATCGTTTCCTTTACAATGAAGCCCAGGTTGGATACCACAGCCAGGGCCGGATTATCGCAGTCCTGGCCGTTCGAGGTTGCTACCAGGGCCCTCCGCTTTTGAGAGACCCCAAAAAATTATACGGACCTATAATGATTGTTGTGTAATTTTGTTATTTGAGCCAAAGTATTGCTATGTATTACTCCAAGTTATTTGCCAAACTTAAAATAGTTTTGTTCCTTTTACCTTTGATATATTTAGCTTAACAATTTGTACATGTTTAAAAACCGGAACTGCAATAACTGTGTGGCACCGGGGCATGGATGTTGGTAAAACAGTCAAGGGAATTAACTTAAAATACAAAGAGGGGGCCCCCATACACTATAAATAGCCCTGCCCCCCCCCCGAATTAAACTTAACCTGGCGCAGACCAACAGCGTGATGCAGCGTTCTATATAAAAAAAAATTAACACGTAAGGGGGGAAAAAACGGAGAACCGGGAGGAAAATCTACGTGGCCACGGGGAGAGAGATCCACACAAACTCCAAATACACAACAGGCGTCAGCAGGGTCCCCCAGATGGAACCCACGACCGCCTGCATATCAGGCGAGGGAGTTAACATCTCCTAGCCACCGCGGTTCCCCATGGCCTCCCCCTTGCCGCACGTCGACCGCGGTCACTCCAACTTCGTGGGCGGGATGAGTCCTGCAGCCACCAGGCGGCGATCGTTGACGAGGAAGTTGAATGTGGAGCACGCGTGGCCCTGGATACAGCACACAGCACGGTGCGGGGGGGGAGCAGCAGGGGGCGCCATCAGCCAGTAACAGAATCATCTCTTTAAACACGAAGGCTTTCGCGACCAATATTAACCATATTAGAGGTTTTTTGGGGTTAGATCGCGTGAATATATAAATGTGTCGTTGAACACGCCACCACCCAACACAGGCAATTAGTAAGAGTTGTCACGTAAACTGAATATGCTAATTCGTTACCAGTACAGCACACCGGTGTGTTGGGAGAGTAAACTCACAATTACAATTTGAGTATGACGTTTCGCCAGTAATAAAAACCAGTATCATCAGGCAACAGCTAGATTTGTGTATAAATCCTCCTGCTTCGGTCTTAAATAGAGGGGTTAAATGTGATGTCGTCACTTTTGAGCCAATCAGGTGCGAAGATAAGAGGTGGGGGGAAGGGTTAATGTAGTCATAAATTACAATGGATTTACTCTCCAACACACCGGTGTGCTGTACTAGTATTGTATTGGCATGTTTTGTTTACGTGACAAACCTTTTTGCCTGTGTCAGATGGTGGCAGGTTTAACTACGCATTTATATTTACGCGAGCTAACCCAAAAACAGTCTGAGGCAGACTGTTTGAAAAGATCTGCCTCAGCAGCAGACCACGCTTTCCCACCTGATGACGGACGCTTGTGTTGCGCCCGAAAACGTCATGATTTATTTTATTTTATACCTACGTGACTTTACCGAAAGAACCAAAGAGTACGAATGCGTGCTGTGCATTCTTTTCTTTTGGTGGTGTCTCCAACCGGTTTTGACAACACTACCCCAGATTGTAATTTTATTTTGAGTTTAGGCTGCAAATGAATGAATGCTCAACCTCCTTGCAGTCTTGTCCTGCCGTGCGCCGCCAAACCCCCGACACCACCATAAATCGTCCCGGTCTCACAACTACGTGTCAGTGACATGTATTGAATTTATTTCGCACCGTACACAGCCAACCGTGCTAAGTCACGGGTAAGTGGGACTCCTTTCTTGACCCATACGTCACGATGAACGTGCTGCTTAAAAAAATGGGGATTTCTTCTTGAAGATTATTCCAGTTGTCCGTGCTCTGAGTGGTAGTGGAATAGCTATCGGGAATTGTCACCTGGAATGATTCTTAACAACGTTGATTAAAACGCGTATTCTCCAGACTTTAAAATGCCCCCTCCCAAATGTTGCTTTAAAATACAGGGGGGGGTGGTGGAGTATATCGTACTTTAGAAACTACGGCAACGCATAACGCTTTCAACCTTGCTTGAAAAGTGTCATTAAATTACGACGGTGGAAACTCGGTGACAGTCGGTGGGAAATCCAGCATGAGCGCTCACCGTGTCCTGCACCTCCACAGCGACTCCCTGCCGTATCATGAAGCGCAGCAGCTGCGGGTCCAGACGCTCCACTCGGTCGCCCGTCCCCAAAACGAAGATTTCTGCTCACCCACGCGACACGCGACACTACGCTGGGCATTCCGTACCAAGACAGGGCAACAGACTTGGGAGTAGAATGGAGCACGAAAGCGTAAATGGGATCTGAAAATAGGAGCTGCGATTGGTGGTGATGATGCTGAGTGTCTAAAGTGAGGTTCTTTTGTGCAAGGGTTTTGGCTTTAACAAACATTGCTCTGATATCTGGACTCTAGCCAGGTGGAGCTATTGACGGAATGCTAGACTTGGAATCATGAGCTTGCGAGTTTAAACTCTGGCTGTGGATTGAATATCCCATCTTACCATCCAAGTTCATAAAATGAGTGCCACTTCGTGGAGAGTCAACAGTGGTCCTCCCTAAACATGGCTTGCCATTTTTTGAATGTGGAATTTACTTTACTGGCTCTGGACCACCAACAGAGATGTGCAACCCACCTCAATGCTCATTTCAGCGGAAAAACATTTGACTGTAAAATGTAATAAACAGCAGGCATCACGATTTAAGGTAAATGCAAGGAAGCGTTCGAGCGATTTCTTTATTCACTTGTTGAATCCTCACCTATTCGGGGCTCCAGAAGGTAAAAGAATGATAAGCTTTCTTCACTGATAACCTTCCAGCTTCCAACCTGAGTGAAGAAACCAGAATGTTCATGTTACTCACGGGGGCTCTCCACCAATGCAGAAGAGTAAATATCAAATATATTACTAATCCATAGCATTCTGACTGACAAAGAGTCGGGCCCTTGATTGGGACACTTGACCAATTCCATTTTCCTGAATGTTCTGTGGTGAAGAGAAACCCAAGGGCGAGAATAAATCCCCCTGCAAAATCTTGCCAGAATCAGGACATTTATCTGGAGGAATCCGATGAGCTATAAAGCTCTTTTTCACAGACACGGCCGGGGAGTGCATGCTCACGTTCCACTGGATGATGGCATGGGGGATGATGGCGCACGGACCGATCACGCGATTGCCGTTGACGGTGAACCCGTGCAGGCCGTAGCTGTCCACGAAGATCGTGTTGGGCGAGTCTCGCTGCAGCATCGTCACCGTCGTCTTCTCGTAGAGGTCATCGTCCGAAGGGCTGGCGCCGCTCAACAACCTGCGGGTGACAAGAGACGGCGCACGGCGAGACTCTGAAGCCACAAGCCCTCGCCCAGGGGACGTGTACGCACACGCACGCGCACACAGAACCTTGCATGAAATTCTTTCGTAACGTACGTAGCCAACCGCGCTAATCGGAGGTGCGGAGGGCAAACTAAACACAAAAATCAGTTCTACGGAAATTCGTTTTCAATCTAGACTTAGATGTGTACACATACGCACACCGATGACTCCTTACTCCAAGACCTGTGCACAGGTCTTGGAGTAAGGAGTCGCCGGTGAAGCCCGTTGAGCTGAGTAGCTGCACAAACGTACACCTTCCCGAAGATCTCGTACTCAAGACCCGTACACAGAACAAACACTGCACATGTACAGGATACACAACCCCTTAACCAAGGACGTTCCACCGTATAGCCTTGCTAGACGTGATGGGGGCAAATGCTGTTGGCAAGCACCGAATGAAGGGCGGCACAGACCTGACGTGCATGATGCAACTAGGATATCTGTCCACGCCACCAAGGCGTAGTGACCCGGGCACTTCTGGATATTTCAACGTGGGTATAAAGACTCATCGCATCATCGCGCGAAAGGTCTATAAAAGTTGCTTCAAAAAAGTGTTAACACTTACATGAGACTATCGTTTTTAATGGAGAAACGGATAATACACTGTAACATAACAAATGTATGCCAATTGCTTCAAAAAGTCCTACGTGTTCGCCATCATTGTCAACACATGCCTGGAATCTTCTCCAGAGCCCGGAGGCGGCACATTTCTTCGTGGTATTGTTGCCAATTCTCCGAAGTGTTAACATTTTTTTGAAGCACCCTGAAACCCGAGCACCATTGTGGCAAGTCACGCGTGATTACCCTGCACAGACGGTGTCGCCCGCCACCTGTGGAGTTTCCACCAATAGCTTACACCACGGGGGGAGGTAAGGGGGGAGGGGTGCATTCACTTGGCGACTGAGATACGTCCTCAGTTTAACATTGAGCGAGTTTCACGGTGTCGAGATGTTAACTACCTCGCCCGGTTTGACAGGAGGTCTTGGGCTCGATCCCAACCCTGACGATGCCTGTTGTATATTTGGACTTTGCGTGTCTCTCTCTCCGTGATCCCCGTGGGGTTTTCTCCAGGTTTCTCCTGTTTCTTCCCACTCCACATTTAAAAAAAAACATCCGCTTAAGATTATGTGGCTGCTAGACATGTCCACACGATAAGCCACTTCGCTGAGCTATATCACTCGTGACAGCCAGGTCGCTTCTGAAAAAAAATAGCAACATAGTTCAGTGGGCCCTTAGCTCGTGAAATAACAAAACAAAACAGATGCGAATGAGTGGTAGCGTTCTGGGGCTAGGTTTTGCCTCGTTCCTGCCCCCCACAATCGACACTGGGCCCCCCACAATCGACACTGGGCCCCCCACAATCGACACTGGGGCCCCCCTAGCCGCTTGCCCCCCAATGAGCCCGGGGCTCGCACCTGCAGAGGCGGCGGACGGGGAGCGCCGCGGGCCCTAGGAGGCTGCGGCCTCCTCCTGCCCGGCCCAGGCCCGTGACCGCCGCACGTGCGGCCAAGCGCGCCGCCATGCTGCCCGATGACGTCAACCGTCACAACACGGCGCGACGCAGTCACGTCACCGCGTCGCACCGACCTTACTGTACCGCCGGTGACGCCATCACGCCGGGAGGGGCGGTGGGGAGACGTCTGCTCGTGACGTCATCACGCACGGTGCTCTGCCAGCGGGCGTTGATGTTAACGGGGGGGGGGGGTGTGCGTGACGTCGTCGAGTGCGTGACGTCGGCCATGCACGCTCCTGATATGACATCATGTAACGTGTTTGTATGTTCGTGACGCATTCATGACTTCATCGGAGCTTTTTAGACATTTACACGTGACGTCATTATCAATGTCATTCGTGAATAATGCTGTGGGAAAAAAATGTCTCGTGTAATTTACAACGGTAGTCCAGTTGATCATCCAGTTGATCATGGGAGTCCAGTTTACCGTGGAAGTCCATTTACAAAAAAACATTTTACCATGGGAATTCAGATCCCCATGTTAGTCCAGTTTACCATGTGAGTCCAGTTTACCATGGAAGACCAGTTCATCATGGGAATCCAGTTTACCATGGGAATCCATTTTACCATGGAAGACCAGTTCATCATGGGAATCCAGTTTACCATGGAAGTCCAGGTCCCCGTGGAAGTCCAGTTTACCATGGAAGTCCAGTTTACCATGGGAGTCCATTTTACCATGGAAGACCAGTTCATCATGGGAATCCACTTTACCATAGAAGTCCAGGTCCTCATGGAAGTCCCGTTTACCATGGAAGTCCAGTTTACCATGGGAGTCCAGTTTACCATGAACGTCAGTTTACCATGGAAGTAAATATTACCATGGGAATCCAGTTGACCATGGGAGTCCAGAGTTACCATGTGGCAAGGGTCGGCAACCTGCGGCACTTCAAGGACTGCTTCTTGACGTTATTCATGAAGGACCACAGCTCTCGTATTCAAATTGCATTGCGGCTCTTGAAATACTTTGGTTGTTTTTTACCGAATTCGAAAAAAAAATGTCTCTATTTGTTATTTAGGTTGCCGACGCCTGGGTTGTAGGCCGGGTTGGTGAGCATGCTTCGCCCCATAACTCTATCCCTGACTTTTTGCTCACGATTCACCCATTGGCGTGCATTGCTCCTGCTTTTCCATGCGGAATACAATCCACTCGCAGGTTCAAGGCGTCCGCCCGCCTTGAACTTCACGGTACTCGCCCCACCTCAATCCTGACATCACGACGGGTGTGGTGGTGTGAATAATGAATGCTCCCTAAGCCTGCGACATGAGAAGAAAGCAAGACACTTCAGTAGGCGGAGTGCGCACTGCGGTGTTGAGTTTACTGTGAGCTGGTGTCAGTTCGCCAGGCAATGGAACTCGACACGCATTACTCACTCCAACTCGCGTCCCCAAACCCAGCCCACGGCTCGTGATTTTATTGACTGAGCTGGTCCCCATTGTGCTGTGAAGAAGGGCCATTGCACGAGACGTTGCCGATGTATATATATTTTTTTCACTTTTAAAAGCGGTATTATTGCCGAATGTGAGTTCGTTCCTAGGCGTTGGTGCTGGTGCATCGGGCGTCCTTAAGCAGACAGAATCAGAATGTGTATTCATGCTGGAGAAATCCGATGAGCTGTAACGCCCTTTTTCACAAAATGTTAGAACGTTACAACCACAAACAATACAACAACACGATAGGAGCGCAAAGTATAGGAAAGGTAAACAAATAACTTTAAGAATAATATGCAAATAAAAAACATTTTTGTTTATATTACCGGTTTGGAGGCTCCCCCACGTTGTGCGGTCAACTCTGGGTAGAGGTGAAAAACGACTCGTGTCCGAGATGGAGATTCAATCAAATGGGGGAACAGACACACAGACGTGGATATTACAGATGTAGACTAGAGACACAACGATGGAGGTTTAGTCACGTAGAAAGCCACGTAGAAAGAAAATAAATTTAATAATAGAATACGACGTTTCGGTTGCAACACAAACAAACCTTTTTTAAAAGTTCGTTTTTATATTTTTTATGCTTATTAGGATTAAAATGTGAGCTGTATTTTGTTTCACCCCTACTTTATTCATGGACTAAGAGCCGACTGAGCTACTTGGGCCCAAGCGATTACTTGCTTCCCTTTGCCGTCGCACCACCACTGGAGCTCATCCCCAAACGCTTTTTCTTGTTTGAGCCGGCAATAAATCCACCCTGATCGTTGACCGGAAAGTCTTCGAGGAGCATTTAGCAAGGTGGCAATTGCTCTCTCATTGCTCGGATAAAATCCACCACGCGTGGCCCAGTCTAAAGAGTCGCATCTTAAGCTCCGTTTC